TGTGCCCACCGTGGGCGATGCCGATGAGAGAATGTCTGCTGCTGTACTGGGGCAGCTCATTCTGTGAATGAAATTCAAACCCACAGCGAGATTAGATACATTTGTGCTCTAAGTGCAGTTGAAAGCAAAGGTTTACATACATAAGAACAAAAAGACACACATACATTGCTTTTTTTTCTCACTGTAAAGTCAAAATTGTACTAAAAAAAAGTCAGGATTCTGATATTAAACTCAGAATTCTTGCTTCTTTTTAATCATTTTCTGTAAATATAAATACTTTTTCACACTACTCTTAAGTGTTCAGGAGTGCTGGACACTGGTGCCTGATATTGTAATACATTTAAAAAGTCTTACTGATAGAACACAACTCTTATTAACTGTAATTATTACAGAATTGCATATCGTATCTGCTATGATTTTAATTTTTAGATTAAAACAGTCTTTACTCTTGGACTCTTGGTCCAAATTCTGGCTCTAAAGAAAGATTTGAATGATATTCTCATAAGGAAGAACTAAAAATAGTTTGTTTGTTTTTTGTAAATACTACTGCAATATGAAAATATGTAAGGTCACAACTGACATCTATTTATGAAAAAAAATCGAGGTCATTACAATGAGATGTAATAACCTTCATTGTAATAAAGGTTACTTATTAACCTTTATTAACTACCTTTCAAACTATATTTCTTTTAGTTTTAAATATATTTTAAACTAAAAGAAAAATGTGTTGACATTCATTTCACATTTGATATTGACGCAAACTGGAAAAAAAAAAAAATCCTACAGCATGAAGACAGTTATGACCACTTTGCTCTTAGTGCTAGATTTTGCCACCAATAAACTGAGTCACAGTTTATGGCACAGCTTTTTCAGACCATGTTTAAAAAGCATGTCAGCATGACGGGCTAAAACCCTGTTTCCATGGTGTTAAACCGCTACACTTTACTATGTAAGTTTAATGCCCCCCATCCCTCAGCCTGATTTCACTTTATATCTTATTGTACAACCAAAGTCAGTGTTAGGATATTGGAGCATGTGGAACCGGTGTTCCTTCTTACTGCATATTCCTGTGTCCTGTAGGGCCCCAGTCTGCAGCAAAGTAGGTCCTTTCTGTAGAGCACCACCACCAGCAACAGTATCACTAAACAGAAGACTGCACATGACCCTGAGGTTAAGGAGAAACGCAATGAAACAGCTTCAGCAGAAAGACAGAAAGATGAGGAAAGCACAATCGGCATAGAGAAGGCAGCAATGTGGCTCAGCCACGGGACGAGGGTGAGCCTATGCTCAGCTTTGTTTTTCTTAGATTTCAGCTGTCAGGTTTTTTAATATTCTATGTGTGTCATTTCTGCACCGTGTTCACAACTCAAACAGCACGGAATACGTGTCGACGCAGCAGGTGGAGGTCGGAGTTGTGTTTTTCTTATCCACAAGGACAGCAAATGCAGATGGGATTAAGATATTTTCAAATATAAAGCTAAATGAATAAAGTCACCCTTTAAAAACACTTTGAATGGCTTTGTTTAAATGTTCACGGCACCGCTGCGGATTCTTAAAGATGGCAGAATCATTCATCCCTTCAACTGGTTAAAGTTTATTAAACTTTAAAAGGTTACAGGTCTGGGTGATTCTGAGCAAATTTATGAGATCTTACTAGAATTACATGCTTCTACGTTTACGGGAAAATATTCCCTCCATGTAATTTAGCCACATTAGGTTACAAGGACAAGACTTTTTAAATAGACGTCGTTAATATGAATCTTGTTCATTAACATCTGCACATAAAGCACAGATAAAGTGTTATTAAGAGGCTTGTATTGAGCTTTATTTGTTTAAGCATCGTTGTGATCTGACAGTTTAGATCACTTATTTGTGCGGAGAAATCGGTGAAAGAAAGAAAAATCCTTCTGGGATTTTTGTCAATTGCATTTGTCGTCATTCCTTTTTCTTGTCCGTCTTCAAAACGACCTCTCAATCTGCATTGTGGAAACAGCTCTTGTGTTTGTGTTTTGGCTCTCACTTGTGTTTTCTTTCTGCTGAGTTTGTTTATTATTATTGTTGCTGCTCAGGTCTTGCCAAATAAGTGTCTGTTCTTTTTCTATTTTTTGGTTGAGACTCATGTTAGTGTTAGGCCGTTTGCATTTGGTTTGTTTTTTTGTTTTTTTTGTTTTTTTTTTGTTTTTTTAGCTCAGTGCCTTTGTGTCTTTGTGTTAATTTGTCACATTTCGATCGCACATGTGACAATACTAAACTTTGAGTGCTTTCATTTTGTTATTTCTGAGTCTTGTAATGAGTAGGTCTGTTTTTGCGGCCAGGTCGATAATTAAACCGCCGTACAACACACTGCTGGTCCGTGCAGGGTTGAGGAAAAGCATCTTAAAGTGGCTGTGACTTATTTTTAAAGATTTGTGTGAACAGTGGAAGTCTGTGGTTACATATCACGCGGGAAGTGACACTTTGTAGATCGTTGTCCATGATAGTCAGTTTAAAAAAGGCTCCACTGCAATATTTTACATTTTCACAGTGCATCACTTTTACCTCCCCAGAGTCAGTCTGGTGTGTTTCGCAAATATAAGCAGCAATAATACAATTTTTGTAATATTAAAAGTATTGAAATACAAAATTCCTTATTGTAGAAGCATTGGACTTGAAGGAAGACTGTCTCACTTTCATAGTTTGCAAACACTTCAGTAAAGTCTATCGTGGGGAAGAAAATTGCTTCCATGGTTTGAAGGAATTTCAGAGCAAAATTTTGTAAACTAAGGCAACAAAAATAAGGAAAAAGTAAAGAATACAGAGTAATTTCTGTCAACTATTAGAACATGTATGGAAACTAATTTCAATTAAATGAGGCTGCAACTTTATTTTTAAATAACTGCTTGAAAAAAATGTTTATGGCAGATAAACAGATCCACACGCAAACTTGTTCAAGTTGTTGATCAGACTCAAACAAGTCTCGTTGACGTTTTCTAGCTTACGGCAAGACGGTCTAAAACAGCGTACAGAACGATCCGGCGAATTCGTACGTGACATTGTTTTGTCCTCAAAGTTCAATCCTGTCCGCAGAAACAAGTCAAAGACAAATGATTTACCTGAACCCAAGATGACAGTCAGCAGGAACGGATCCATGGCAGGAGACCCTGGTGGAGCCAGAAGTTAGAAAAATATGAAATATATATATTCTCAGTCTCTGTAATCAGTCGGGGTTTGTCCTCTGCATACATAAACGTCTCTTTCAAATGAGTCCTTGCTTTCCACTTGAACTACAAGGGAACAGTCTTTATGTTTGGGGTTTTTTTAACTATCCGTCCTGAGCCAGTGAGTAAATATTAACACCGTGTAGAGAGAGAGACAGAGAGAGAGAGAGAGAGACAGAGAGAGAGAGGGTGCGTCTCCTGCCCCCATTCTGGGGGCAAAAAACATAAAACATGGGTACTTTGAAGCTGAGTCTTTTGCAAACTCTAGTGGAAGCTGCTGGAAGTGCACACAGACAGAGGGAGGTAAAGTAATGACCAACGAAACAGATCACACATATCTTTTGAATTACTTCAGAAAGGCACAACAAGTAACACGGGATGTGTTTTTTTGTTGTATTTTTTGATTACCTCACAATACAGTATGCTGTATTCAGTAGCAGCTGGCTGACAAAAGTGGCACCGCTATTCAACAAATGTGTTATCAAACTTTTTATTCAACTAGCTGGGCAAAAATGTGAAACTAGTTCAACTAGTTCAATATGGAGCAGTAATTTGTTCATTCACTTGAAAATACTGGTAATGCTGATTAGAGGACACGCCTAAAAGTTAAACATGTCCCTGTGCTCACATTGTTTTTCAGTCTTTTCTAGAGGTAACATCTTTTTGGTCCAGGCATGTTTCATTAGTTTAGAATTTAAAACTGCTGAACCATATCTCAAAAGTAATCTTTGTTTATTATCACTTTTGTCAGTGTATATCTTAAGAGTACCTTTTTTTATCGAATTACATATATATTTAGAATATTTTCTAAATATATAAGCATCATATATTTTATATATTAGTACTGTGATCAAAGTATGTTCCAATTAATCTTTTGGTTTATTTTAATTGATAATGAAGTACACTTTATGAACATTAGTACAATTAAAAAAAAAAAAACAGGTACATTTTAGAGGAAATGTGAAAAATATTTCACCAAGGACAGAATATTGCTTTAATTCAATGTCCCAGCATTCCAGTATTACCTCAGACAAACTAACAGATCTCATTCCTAAGAACAGCGAGGATCAACGACAGAACATTCCCATTCACTCATTATAATGAAACACTATATTGTAGTATCTCATTATGTCTCATTATTGTATAATGAGATATTATTACATCTTATTTTAACAATGAGATATAATACTATCTCAATATAACGAGATGTTTTCTCATTGTATTGAGATAGTATCTATCTCATGATGGTTATAATGAGATAACTACCTTATTATATTGAGATAGTATTATATCTCATTACTATATGAAATATAATACTATATCTCATTATATAGTAATGAGATATAATGAGATACTACAAAATAGTATTTCATTATGAGATAGTTATCTCAATATGAGATACTATCTCTCTATCAGTGATGCTGTTCTCTGGAGTGTGCCCTGGAGCGAATGCTGCTCACTGATGGATCTTAAGTCATTCATCTAAAACTGGACAGGGTAAAGACAAGCTTCAGTTAAAGAACTGAGAAAAATAGATCATATTCAGAGATGTAAAACTGAAGTTATCTGCTACATTTATTGTTAAGGACCAGTAATATTTTTGCTTATAGAGTCACTAAGCTGTCAATGTTTGTTTTATCGCTTTGTTAAACAGCATTTCAGTAAGTTCCACGAGTCCCTTTCAATGTCATTTTGTTGTCCTCAAGTCGAAATGCAAGGGAACTACTGATTAAGAAAATACAAATAAATCCTCTAACGTGTTTCCATAGCTTCTGCTCCTCCATTCATGCTAACGTCCAAATCATCCACACAATTTCCAACTCAGTGTGTTGCTCTCTCCATCCTCCGCCCAGCTGTTACATCGCGTCAAGCGTCGTGCGTGTTAACCATCACGACGCGTCTTTTCTTTTCTTTCTTTTTTTTTTCTTTTTAATGTTAAGTGATGTAGAAAGTGATTCACCCCCAAGGAGGAGCTTATTTAGGAGCGCGGAGAACCCGGAGGAGGAGAAGGAGGAGGAGGAGGAGGAGGACAGCACTGAGACCGTGGTGCTGCGTGGGGGAGGTTCTGGTCGGTGCGTAGTTTCTCAGCTCTTTCTGTCTCCCTCTCCTCTCCGGGTTTTCCGCGGATCTGTCGTTTCAGCGGCGCGGTGTGGGAGAGCACGTCCGGGATGGAGCGGATGGAGTCAATGGAGCCGATCTCGGCGTGCTACAAGACGGCATACCCGGAGATCAACCCCGACAGCGGCTACGGCTCCGGAGAGAACACGGAGAACCAGGCGAAGACCCCGCCAGCCCCGAGCTACGACGAAGACCTGGTGCATAAGGTAAACAAAGCTGCTGGAGGCAAGATTTCTCCTTTTTTAAAATCTTTTTTTAAACCATTATTATTGTTTATTTGTTTGTGTTTTCAACATTTATTTATTTATTTTTGGCTAATTTGTCATCGGCTCCGCTTGTAGCTCGGCGCTGTCCGTGGTGCTGATCCGGACTTTGATGCAGTTTTCTCTGGAGTTGGTCTCCTTCCAGACTCACTCAGGCATCCGATCAACTCCCAGCACCGACCATACCCTCTCCTTCTGGGGGGTGATGCTGTCAGCTTAATGTTCCACTCTGCCGGAGAATAAAAGAAGGCTTTAAAAGAGGCCAATTCTATTAAAAAATAAAAAAAAAATTACTTCCGAGGATTAGCTGTTGTTTTTATTCTCCCCACAAGAGGAACATTTCACACAAACCATCAAAACGTAGGGGAAAGAAATGATGAAAATCTGCACAATTAGGTTAAATGTAACATTCCCATTCTTCTCCCCATTTAAGTTCCTATAGGACTGTGTTAGCTGTGTTAGTCTGTGGTTTATAAAGTGCAACAGTACATTGAATCTCTTCCGTCCTGCTGCCTCAGAGGCTTCACTGTCAGTGGAGCAAAAAACATAAACAGAGAGAAAGAGAGAGGGGGAAAAAACAGTCCCTTTAGGCTTCAGTCAAATGTCACATCGAGTTACCAAGCTCTCCATGAGCTTAAACTCAAAAAGCCTTCAGCTGGCTTCAGTCCGCAGCACACTACACCCCTCTTTCACCGCCCAGCACCCAACGAGATAAGCCCCCTCAACTCTCTCTGAGTGGATGCGGTGTGTCTCTCTGAGACAAGATGAGGAGACCGACTGTCTTAAAAGCCGGCGGTCAGATTGGACGTGAAATGGACCTGATTGTATGTTAACCAAAAGCACTTTGATGACCCCCGAAGACATGTGTGTGTGTGGGAGTGTGTGTGAGCATGATTCACGGTTAACTGAACGACAGTAATTTATCAACAGAAATGAAGCTGTGAAAAAAAAAGAAAAAATTGGCTGAAATCATTTTTTTATTTCACCAATCAGCAAACTGACTGCTGCTGCTTCTTGTGTTAGAAATAAACATGATACAGCTATCGTTGTTCTGCACCTATCTCCCTGTTACTGATATTGATTAAAGGATCAGTTTTCTTGATCGTCCAGAACCACAAAGTGAGAGATTTGGATGCATTTAGGAAGTTTTGAGAACAACATCCAGGGGTGTCCAGGAAGGGCATGTATTGTTCCTTCCTGAGAAATGTCACCACCGGTGAGCTAAAGACATTCAGGCAACCACCGTTTGTCGAGAAAAGCACCAAATAAGCCACTTCTTTCCAAAAATAGAGACAAAATGAAGTACAAGAACGGACAGAATATTGGTGAAAAAGCTACCCTCGGGCTTTTTTATATGCTAAAAGCTACACTGGACCCCTGCATTGTGCTAACAGTGAAACACTGATTCAATCTGTTTGTGGATTTGCTTCTCAACCATTAAATTCCCGGCTCTGCCAAACAAGACGGCAGTAAACAGAGCGGGGTCACAATGCCCTTCGAGAGCAACTGCTTCCAACAGTCCGGGCCACAATTTGAGGATTGTGTATGTATAAAAAAAAAAAGGAATAAAAACGAGATGGAGCACCATGTCACAGGAAGCTAACTATTTGAGATCAAATCCAAGCACTAATGAGTCAAAATGAGTCAAAATGTGGCAGGATTTGGTTTCAAGGGTTGACAATAAGCCTCTCAGAGCAGGCAAGTAAGCAGGACGTTATTTATATAAAAAAAAAATCACAAAGTGCTTCGCAGTCAACTGACACGACAGCACAAGAGCCAGCAATGACTAAAAAGAGAAATGTTTTAAGCATATGCTACAAGACTGGCAAGACTTGCTGACTGAATTTTGACCAATTTCCAGCCATTCTGGGATAATTATAAATGAGTTATAAATCTTTGAAACTTACGGAGTGTGCAATCATACTTAAATCGATTTATTGCCATTTTACTCTCTACCAAGCATTACAAAACGTCACAGACGAAAAACAATCTATCGCCACATCCTGTTGCATTTCATGCCGAATTACTGCACTGGTTTCAGGGTTGCATTAGGTGCTTATTTGGAGATCTTTTTCAGAACATGAAAGGCCTGTTGATAGAAAAATCCCTATCGAAGTTTCTGAAACACGAGAAGAGGCGGCAGAAACGTAACGAAGGGCTCATTACTGAAGTAGCAGCTGAGGAGGAGGAAAAAGTGGGAGAAACTGGATCAGGATTTCCACATCGAAAGCCCAAATGTGTGGGTTGGAGGAAGTCAAAGAGATTAATCGCGTCTACTTTAAGTCATTAAACGCATTAAGCGCTATTCACTTGAAAGGCTGGCAGGTTGTAAGAGAATCCATAAGTTAGACAAAAATATACCACTCAAACGGACTTTGGTTGTAAGGATTTTTTTTTCTTTATTGGATTATATTGTAATCTTTTCTTTTTCTTATTTGTTCTTCAAAATAAAGTGTGCACAAATAAAATAGCCACACTCATTTCCTCTGCAACAGCAGCAGGTGCATTTCATGGCAAACTAGGGTAAAATCAAGTCATTCTTTCTCTGAAGAGACAGAGACAGTAATTATACATGTGCGCAGCACAGATGCTTCTGTCTGCCATCTTGGCCCGCCTCCGTTTGTCCGTCTGCCTTCTGGGTCACTGACAGATACACACTTTTCATGTGTATCTGTGCTTCATCTGTTAATTAGCTACCTTCCATCGGTCTCCTTGCTCTTCACTCTTGCCCAGCTGTTCTGCATCCCTCTGGTTTCTAAATCTTCCCACTCCGTCTCTCTGTTTCTAATCTTTTCGCATTTGTCTCCCACTGCCAACAATTGTGAGAAGTGTAGTCCAACGTTTCCGTGTGCTGCTGGTGTAGGTTCGCTGTGTTTTTTACAGAGTCCGAAATCAATGCTGGAAACTTTAGAGCGCTTCATACTTTACTGTGCCCATACGTACAAGCACCTGTTTTAATAACCGCGGTGTCACTTTGTTTTCATCGGCCTGGAAACAAACCTGACCCAAACGCCACATTGAATCTCTGGAGTTTTGTCAACGATGAGACGAAAGACACCAGAACGAACCTTTGTCTTCATATTTTGGGTCTGATTTCGGTGAAACAGCACATAGTATGTCATTGATTGATTAAAAAAAACAAATAAAACAACAACAACAACAAACATGCATATGCACATCTGTGTGTTTGACAGATGCCAGGTTGCAATATCCTCTGGTTTCAAATTCTCATCTTTTAATTGCTTATCCGCAGCGAGAAATAGAAGCAATATGGAAACTGTTGTCCTGAGAGGCAGCGACGATTTCAATTCTCTAATTTTGCCAAATTAAGGCAGCAAGAAGGCAGCCATGTCCAGTTGCATGAACAAGAGAAAGACTCAGAAATAATCATGATAATAAAAAGGAAACCCTGAGGCAGAGTAAAAACCCTACAACACAACTCTCTTTCTTCCTCTCTGACACATGAAAGTAAAATCCTCTTCCAGAAAGTCTGTGCAACTTTCAAGGTAATTGCTTCCAGTCCCCAGAGGGGTTTGATGATACAGACTCATTTCCCCCCCATCTACTGTCTATTAGCACAGTCATACGCATTAAACGGCTTTCTTCTGTACAGATTCATGTGATGTTTGGAAGATTTTAGATTATGAATTTTGAAGTGGAGTTCGGAGAAAGAAAAAAAAAGAAAAAGAAAACCCAACAAAGACACGGGTGTGGCCAGTGATAAAATAGTGGGGTTTGAACTCATGAATATCTTTAGAACTAGAACTTGAAGTTTGCTAACGTCTGAAACGATGCTAACGTCTCAAAACGAAAACGAAAAGCTGTGTATCTAGCTAGCGGACTAATTTCAAGATGTCAATTGAACACTGTAATGGCATTATTAAAATAATAAAAGTAAGTATTTACCCTGGTTGTCTAATTCTAAGCCCAGATGCCAGAGCAGCTTCACTTCACTTGCCGTCAGTGACTCAGTTGGACAGCGTTACGTCTGTGGGGGAGGGAGCGGGACCTCGTTGAGACTCCATAAATGAAAAGCAGCTCAAACAAAGATGACGAATTGATTGGTGTCCCTGGCGACTGACTTGGGTGCTTCTGAAAGCTGTCTTTCAGTGATTTTTATTTATTTATTTATTTATTTTTATTGCCTTGAAGGTTACATTCTCCAGCTTATGAGTCACGCTGCGAGAGCGGTGCACGGCGGAACTCCTAGAAAAATTATTATTATCATTGTTCGAGGAGCTCGGAGGGGGGAAGAGAGAGAGAGGGAAAAAAAAAAAGAAATTTCTTGGATGACGCAGATCTTTGTTCGTAGCTGAAGTATTAATAGATTTTAAGAAGTTAAAGCAGAGAAAAGTATTGTCACCAAGAATATATTTACTTGTAATATGGAAATATGGAATACCTTCTAAATTAGAGTACAACCAAAGTCAGAATATGTTATTATATAACGCCATTTATTAAAATCTTGCCCACTGAAGGAAAACGTGTGGATTGCGTTGTTTTCAGCACGTTCTTCCTCCTGAGCAAGCATGGGGTGAAGGTGTGTTACTGATGGTTGTAAAAAAAAAAAAAAAAATCCTTAATATTTGTGTTTTTGTTATGATTTCTTGCAGACAATCTTGGTCGGGGACAGCGGCGTAGGGAAGACCTCTCTTCTGGTTCAGTTTGACCAGGGCAAATTCATCCCAGGCTCCTTTTCTGCCACAGTTGGAATTGGATTCACGGTACGTTTGGGATCCACAAACTACTGGAGACCGAAAACTTTCTCCCATCTCGATGCCATCACTCGTGTTCCTAAGAAACTTGTTTTGTTTTTGTTTTATTGGTTTTTTCTTAGTGTCAGCTCCTCTCTAATCATATTATTTATTCTTGCCCTTCTCATTTGTCCCTTTTTTCCCCCCTCAGAATAAAGAGGTAACTGTTGACAACGTAAAAGTCAAACTACAGGTCAGTGTTCACATCGGCTTTTAACAGGCAATGAATTTACTTCACGAGTAATAGAGTCTTCCTACATTAGCTGATTTTTTTTTTTGTTTTATTTATTTATTTCAACTTCCTTTGCTATGTACGTGAAGACAACAGACGATTAGAAGCAGATCAGAGTGGTTTCTGTTTCAGATTTGGGACACAGCAGGACAGGAACGCTTCAGAAGTGTGACTCACGCATATTACAGAGACGCACATGGTGAGAATGAATGAATCACAACGTGAATTACAAAGTTCTGCTCGCGCTTTGTACGCAGGCATTCATGCGGACCCGTGATTTGCTCCTTTCTTTCTTTCTTTCTTTCTTTCTTTCTTTCTTTCTTTCTTTCTTTCTTTCTTTCTTTCTTTCTTTCTTTCTTTCTTTCTTTCTTTCTATCTTTCTTTCTTTCTTTCTTTCTTTCTTTCCTTTCCAAAGCTTTGCTGCTTCTGTATGACATCACCAACAAATCGTCGTTCGACAACATCAGGGTGAGTCTCACACTCGCCAGCGACGAAAACATAAAGTAACCAGGGGGCCTGGAAACTAGTAAGACCTGTTCGTGCGTAGGTCAACGTAAAACGCCACGTTATTAGAGCAAATATTTGCACATTTTCCCACCCTACGGTCACATGTGCAGCGCGGGCCGTTGTCAAACATCTGTGTGAGAGTCTACCTGCGGGAACCCTGTAACACACCGCTAACCACCTTCTCTGTGTGTTTGTTTCGTTTTCTCCGTCCAGGCGTGGTTAACAGAAATCCATGAGTATGCACAGACCGACGTAGTCATCATGTTGCTGGGCAACAAGGTGAGAAGGCGATGTTTGCGGAGCTCGGTATGTAATGGAAGTACACGCAGAAGGTTGTGAGCTTCGGTGAAACAGAGCGGAAGTTGCTAAGTTGCTAAGTTTGGATGTGGTGTTCAGATATGTTAATAGCAAGCCAGAGATCAGGATGGTAGCGTAGAGGTATTCCAACCTTCAAGATGCGGAGCTTAAAGGTATTGTCAAAATACCACACTGTAAAAAAAAAAAAAAAAAAAAAAAAAACCCCCAATTTTTGGGAAAAAAAAAACAGTTAAAAATTTTTTTTAACTTAAAGGGAAAATTTT